CCTGCACCCCCACCACTGTACACACCCTGCACCCCCACCACTGTACACTCACCCTGCACCCCCACCACTGTACACACCCTACACCCCCACCACTGTACACTCACCCTGCACCCCCACCACTGTACACACCCTGCACCCCCACCACTGTACAAACACCCTGCACCCCCACCACTGTACACACCCTGCACCCCCACCACTGTACACACCCTGCACCCCCACCACTGTACACACCCTGCACCCCCACCACTGTACACACACCCTGCACCCCCACCACTGTACACTCACCCTGCACCCCCACCACTGTACACACCCCGCACCCCCACCACTGTACACACCCTGCACCCCCACCACTGTACACACCCTGTACCCCCACCACTGTACACTCACCCTGCACCCCCACCACTGTACACTCACCCTGCACCCCCACCACTGTACACACCCTGCACCCCCACCACTTTACACACCCTGCACCCCCACCTCTTTACACACCCTGCACCCCCACCACTGTACACACCCTGCACCCCCACCACTGTACACACCCTGCACCCCCACCACTGTACACACCCTACACCCCCACCACTGTACACTCACCCGGCACCCCCACCACTGTACACACCCTACACCCCCACCACTGTACACTCACCCTGCACCCCCACCACTGTACACACCCTGCACCCCCACCACTGTACACACACCCTGCACCCCCACCACTGTACACACCCTGCACCCCCACCACTGTACACACCATACACCCCCCACCACTGTACACTCACCCTGCACCCCCACCACTGTACACACACCCTACACCCCCACCACTGTACACACCCTGCACCCCCACCACTGTACACACACCCTGCACCCCCACCACTGTACACAGTCATCACCCTGCACCCCCACCACTGTACACACCCTGCACCCACCACCACTGTACACAGTCACCCTGCACCCCCACCACTGTACACACACCCTGCACCCCCACCACTGTACACACCCTCATTCACCCCCACCACTGTACACACACCCTGCACCCCCACCACTGTACACACACCATTCACCACCACCACTGTACACATGCACCCCCACCACTGTACACACCATCACCCCCACCACTGTACACACCCTCCACCCCCACCACTGTACACACCCTACACCCCCACCACTGTACACACACCCTTCACCCCCACCACTGTACACACACCCTGCACCCCCACCACTGTACACACCCTTCACCCCCACCACTGTACACACACCCTGCACCCCCACCACTGTACACACACCCTACACCCCCACCACTGTACACACACCCTACACCCCCACCACTGTACACACACCCTATACCCCCACCACTGTACACACACCATGCACCCCAACCACTGTACACAAACCCCTACACCCCCACCACTGTACACACCCTGCACCCCCACCAGTGTACACACCCTGCACCCCCACCACTGCACACACACCCTGCACCCCCACCACTGTACACAGTCATGCACCCCCACCACTGTACACACCCTACACCCCCACCACTGTACACACACCCTGCACCCCCACCACTGTACACAGTCCCTACACCCCCACCACTGTACACACCCTTCACCCCCACCACTGTACACAGTCATTCACCCCCACCACTGTACACACACCATTCACCACCACCACTGTACACACACCCTTCACCCCCACCACTGTACACACCCTTCACCCCCACCACTGTACACACACCCTGCACCCCCACCACTGTACACACACCCTTCACCCCCACCACTGTACACACCCTACACCCCCACCACTGTACACACACCCTTCACCCCCACCACTGTACACACCCTGCACCCCCACCACTGTACACACACCCTACACCCCCACCACTGTACACACCCTGCACCCCCACCACTGTACACACACCCTACACCCCAACCACTGTACACACACCCTACACCCCCACCACTGTACACACCCATTACCCCCACCACTGTACACACCCTGCACCCCCACCACTGTACACAGTCATTCCCCCCCACCACTGTACACAGTCATACCCCCCACCACTGTACACACCCTACACCCCCACCACTGTACACACGCTGCACCCCCACCACTATACACACCCTACACCCCCACCACTGTACACAGTCCTGCACCCCCACCACTGTACACACCCTACACCCCCACCACTGTGCACACACCCTACACCCCCACCACTGTACACACACCCTGCACCCCCACCACTGTACTCACACCCTACACCCCCTCCACTGTACACACCCTGCACCCCCACCACTGTACACATACCCTGCACCCCCACCACTGTACACACACCCTACACCCCACCACTGTACACACCCTACACCCCCACCACTGTACACACGCTGTCCCCCACCACTGTACAAACACCCTGCTCCCCCACCACTGTACACACACCCTACACCCCCACCACTGTACACACCCTGCACCCCCACCACTGTACACATACCCTACACCCCCACCAATGTATACACACCCTGCACCCCCACCACTGTACACACCCTGCACCCCCACCACTGTACACACCCTGCACCCTCCACCACTGTACACACACCCTGCACCCCAACCACTGTACACACACCTTACACCCCCACCACTGTACACACCCTGCACCCCCACCACTGTACACACCCTGCACCCTCCACCACTGTACACACACCCTGCACCCCCACCACTGTACACATACCCTGCACCCCCACCACTGTACACACACCCTACACCCCCACCACTGTACACACCCTGCACCCCCCCACTGTACACACACCCTACACCCCAACCACTGTACACACACCTTACACCCCCACCACTGTACACACCCTGCACCCCCACCACTGTACACACCCTGCACCCTCCACCACTGTACACATACCCTGCACCCCCACCACTGTACACATACCCTGCACCCCCACCACTGTACACACACCCTACACCCCCACCACTGTACACACCCTGCACCTCCACCACTGTACACACCCTGCACCCCCACCACTGTACACACCCTGCACCCCCACCACTGTACACACACCCTGCACCCCCACCACTGTACACACTCTGCACCCCCACCACTGTACACACACCCTGCACCCCCACCACTGTACACACTCTGCACCCCCACCACTGTACACACCCTGCACCCCCACCACTGTACACACCCTGCACCCCCACCACTGTACACACACCCTACACCCCCACCACTGTACACACCCTGCACCTCCACCACTGTACACACACCCTGCTCCCCCACCACTGTACACATACCCTACACCCCCACCAATGTACATACACCCTACACCCCCACCACTGTACACACCCTGCACCCCCACCACTGTACACACACCCTGCACCCCCACCACTGTACACACACCCTGCACCCCCACCACTGTACACTCACCCTGCACCCCCACCACTGTACACACCCTGCACCCTCACCACTGTACACACACCCTGCACCCCCACCACTGTACACACACCCTGCACCCCCACCAGTGTACACACCCTACACCCCCACCACTGTACACACCCTGCACCCCCACCTCTGTACACACACCCTACACCCCCACCACGGTACACACCCTGCACCCCCACCACTGTACACACACACCCTACACCCCCACCACTGTACACACCCTGCACCCCCACCTCTGTACACACACCCTACACCCCCACCACTGTACACACCCTGCACCCCCACCACTGTACACACACCCTACACCCCCACCACTGTACACACCCTGCACCCCCACCTCTGTACACACACCCTACACCCCCACCACTGTACACACCCTGCACCCCCACCACTGTACACACCACCGCCACAAATCAGTGGCAAGACAATAAACGTTCAGATTTGAGACGTGAAAGCGTGAGGGAGCTTGGAGCATCATGCATCATTATCAAGCTGGAGCTGGATATAGCTCCAGGAAGAACCTGGACGTGGTCAGGGGCTGTAACATGCGAGCTTGGTGTTCCGTTCCAGCAGCGTGTGACGGAACACAGTATTGCAAGAATGTTATGAAACACTTTAAGGGGCCGTCATTATACGCAACATCTCAAAATGTTAGTGTAGATACTGGGCAACGGAGTTCTGAGACGCTGAGAAAGTTACAAAATGCGATTAGATGAAGTATGTTTGGAGAGAGAGAGAGAGAGAGAGAGAGAGAGAGAGAGAGAGAGAGAGAGAGAGAGAGAGAGAGAGAGAGAGAGAGAGAGAGAGAGAGAGAGAGAGAGAGAGAGAGAGTGAGGAGAGAGGAGGAGAGAGAGAGAGAGAGAGAGAGAGAGAGAGAGAGAGAGAGAGAGAGAGAGAGAGAGAGAGAGAGAGAGAGAGAGAGAGAGAGAGAGAGAGAGAGAGAGAGAGAGAGAGAGGGGGGGGGGGGAGCAGGATGCTGCAAGCAACTACAAGTGTCGCAGAGTATTAGGAATGTTGCCATAGTAAGTTACAGCTTTATAAGAACCTAAGTTTTTGTCATGTGTTTTACAAGCTGGCACATTTCCATTGTGTGTTACTATTGGGTAGTGGTTCTACCCATGGACACTATTAATGAGACAACCTCGCGGTAGATATATGCAGAGTAAATATCACAAGAATAGTGTGTACATAAATGTATATAGACGTGCGTTTCTGCCCCGAAACGTTATGCGTGTTAGTGGCTTTATAAGAATGTAAAATCATCAATGCTATGTACTCCCATAAACCCAATGTACTTTCTTGTATATATACAAATAACCAAATAAATCCAAAGGTATAGGGAGGGTGGCAGGAGCGCGGCCTGGTGCCCACACCTGCCACTTGTCAACACTGGCAGCACCAGTACCGTTCACACAACAATAACAACACACCTTCATACCAACACATACCAAACTGTACTGCCCTCTCTTATACTCGCCTGTATTAATATATTTACAAAGAAAGGTTAAGACCTCAGGAAGTTATACATACTGTTTCTTATACTAAAATAATGGGTTGTAACACTCACCGTTAGACTCCGGAGCAAGTTGTGGCGGATCTTACGCTAATCTCCAGATGAATTAGTAAGGGCCAAGCTAGACGATGGACTCCTTAACCGAGAACTATTATAGCGTGAGAGAGAGCTCGGGAGAAGGCGAGAGTAGGCAAGAGTAAGGTGAAACTGAAGCAAGAGTCTTGTGGCATGACGGGGGAGGGAGCGAGAGCAGCCGGTCCAGTGCAGATGATGATGACAACACGAGAGCAGCGACCACCACGGGCTAGAGCGAGCGAGTGCAACCGTCCACCACGCTAGTCAATGCCACACTGAGCACGCTACGCCTGCACCAGCCTCTGGTACTCCGCTCTCCTAATTCTCCCATGGTGGCCATTATCACCCTCCCATGGTTGCCATTATCACCCATCCACACATTACACAGCTGGCATTGAACGTACATAGTAATAACACCCAGAAAATAGTCAGTGATATTCGAACGAATGTTTAAGCCGCTAAAGAAAATAGATTTCAAATTAAATTCCTATGGATACCATCACATGTTGGCATCTCAAGGCATGACACTGTTGATATGCTTGCAAAGACAGCCTGTAGAAAACCAGTGGTAGAAATTGATATGGGTGTTTCCCTAGCAGTGACAGAGAGAATACTTAACCAAATATACAATGAAAATCTTACTAACCTAACAAATTCAGAAAGACCTGAAAGTTGTAGCATTAAACATTATGATAAATATCGTAGAAGACAGACATTCACATATGGAACTAATAGAACAAGAACTCGGCAATGTGATGTTATAGTGGCCAGAATACGCCTGGGATATAGACGTATCTGGCAGCTTTGTCAAAACCCAAACGTCGAGTACACAATGTGTCAACTTTGTGAAAGTGAAAACATGCACTCTCTTGAACATTATATTGTAGAATGTCCCATATTGACTGACTTTCGCCCTCCTGGGCTGAGGTATGCTCAGCCCAACCTGTAACTACTATATGGATACAGGAACACTTGATGATATATTGGACTTGTAATGGTTGACCATGTAATGTATTCAATTATTCAATGTATGTGATGTAACTATATAACCTGAACTTGTAAAAGGGTCTTAATCACCTTCAGTGATTAAGTGCTTAATAACACACTAGTTTCTAAATCAGCTATCTTACCCTGCCAGAGAAGGAGAGATATAAATGTATGTGTGTATATATATATATATATATATATATATATATATATATATATATATATATATATATATATATATATATATATATATATATATACATATATATATATGTCGTACCTAGTAGCCAGAACGCACTTCTCAGCCTACTATGCAAGGCCCGATTTGCCTAATAAGCCAAGTTTTTTTGAATTAATATATTTTCTCTCTATTTTTTTTTCTTATGAAATGATAAAGCTACCCATTTCATCATGTATTAGGTCAATTTTTTTTATTTGAGTTAAAATTAACGTAGATATATGACTGAACCTAACCAACCCTACCTAACCTAACCTATCTCTATAGGTTAGGTTAGGTTACGTAGGTAACATACTAAGGAAACTACTCCAAGCTTGTACTAAAGAGGCACCCTTCTTGAGCCCGGATGGGCACATGTATAAGCAAGTAGATGGGGTCGCCATGGGTTCTCCCCTAGGTGTCCTGTTTGCGAACTTCTACATGGGTACCATCGAGCAGAAGATCTTAGTTGACATGGACTTGAAACCCGCCATATACTGCAGGTATGTTGACGACATTTTTACACAGGTACCTGATGCCAGACGGCTTCAGGAGCTGAAGGAGACATTTGAGCGGAATTCTGTGTTGAGTTTCACTTACGAGATGGAGAAGGATGGGAAGCTGCCCTTTCTAGATGTAACGGTCACAGAAAGGAGCGGAGGCTTCCGCACCACAGTCTACACTAAGGAAACAAACATAGGAATGTGCCTCAATGCCAATAGTGACTACCCAGACAGGTACAAGAGGAGTGTTGTCAACGTTTACGTCGACTGTGCTCTCAGCCACAGCTCAGGATGGAATAAAGTCGATGAAGAACCCTTTAAGGTACGGCAATTCCTAGTCAACAACGGCTTCTCTAATGGTTTTGGTGAAGACATCATACCAGTACTAACATTAAGAAGATTTGGACACTGATTGGGACAGACTCAATTAAATTCCGTTCCACAAAGCCATTGCAATTGGTAATGCTTTTCACCCCATCCCAATTAATAGTGTGATCACACAAACTTGTGTGTAGATACAAAGCATTAGACATTTGGGCAGTTCTTATACTATAAGCATGTTAGGACATACGTAATTGTAAGGATTTTGCTGTTTGTCCAAGGTACACAGACTCACAATCATTGCAGGGAATCGAATACACACAACCTGCTGTACCAGGGGAATGTCTTATTAAATTGGACTTGATCGTATTATTAATGAACACCAAATTAATATCAAGGTTCTTAAAAACTGGGAAAAGTTTCTTAAGTCCCATCGCATAAGGTACCACTTCTAATCAGTTGTGTATTTGTGAAGTCTTTGAAAATGTAATAAGTTTTACGAAACGTGCCCGTGTCGCGTCAGACTAAAAATAAAAATGAATTTTGGAGAAGTGATTTTTGATTTACCTCCAACAGTGAAGCGTAATGTACGAAAGATTGAGAAAATTCGTGTTAGAATTATTAATCTTACTTTTTCGGTCATATTTAATAATATATGTCTACAGGAAAGACTGCTACCAAAATATACTAATATATATATATATATATATATATATATATATATATATATATATATATATATATATATATATATATATATATATATATATATATATATATATATATATGAATATACAATTATAATGAGACATTGTAAGCCTCTCTATCAGAGTTGTTTCTTAAACTGTTGTGCAATATTATAACTTAAAAATGGATCAAGTTTGTACATTCCAGTACTAACATTAAGAAGATTTGGACACTGACTGATTAGAGCAGACTCAATCAAATTCCGTTCCACGAAATCCCCACAATTGGTAATGCTTTTTGCCCCATTCCAGTTAATATTGTGATCGCATGAACTCGTATGTAGATACAATGCATTAGACGTTTGGGCAGTTCTAATACTATAAGCATGTTGTGACAACCGCAATTGTAAGGACTTTCCTGTTTGTCCAAGGTACACAGAATCACAATCATTGCAGGGAATCGAATACACACAACCTGCTGTATCAGGGGAGTTTTTTATTAAATTGGATTTGATCGTACTATTAGTGAACACCAAATTTATATTAAGTTTCTTAAAAATCAGAGACAATTTTTCAAGTCCACTCGCATAAGGTACCACCAATGAGTTAATAATTTTTGGTTTCGCTTTAGGGACGTGATTATAAAACGTACGCTTGGCTTGTACAAACGAGAAATCCAAAAACCTCTTAGGATATTGTAAACTCTTCCCAATTTCATATATTTTAGCAATCTCTTCATCAAAAAACTCAGGGCTGCAAACTCTCAAAGCTCGTAGAAACATTCCTGAAAATAGTAAAGTTAAACAGGCAGTATTTTCAGGAATGTTTCTACGAGCTTTGAGAGTTTGCAGCCCTGAGTTTTTTGATGAAGAGATTGCTAAAATATATGAAATTGGGAAGAGTTTACAATATCCTAAGAGGTTTTTGGATTTCTCGTTTGTACAAGCCAAGCGTACGTTTTATAATCACGTCCCTAAAGCGAAACCAAAAATTATTAACTCATTGGTGGTACCTTATGCGAGTGGACTTGAAAAATTGTCTCTGATTTTTAAGAAACTTAATATAAATTTGGTGTTCACTAATAGTACGATCAAATCCAATTTAATAAAAAACTCCCCTGATACAGCAGGTTGTGTGTATTCGATTCCCTGCAATGATTGTGATTCTGTGTACCTTGGACAAACAGGAAAGTCCTTACAATTGCGGTTGTCACAACATGCTTATAGTATTAGAACTGCCCAAACGTCTAATGCATTGTATCTACATACGAGTTTATGCGATCACAATATTAACTGGAATGGGGCAAAAAGCATTACCAATTGTGGGGATTTCGTGGAACGGAATTTGATTGAGTCTGCTCTAATCAGTCAGTGTCCAAATCTTCTTAATGTTAGTACTGGAATGTACAAACTTGATCCATTTTTAAGTTATAATATTTCACAACAGTTTAAGAAACAACTCTGATAGAGAGGCTTACAATGTCTCATTATAATTGTATATTCATATATTGTGTGTTCATGAGGCTTTTCTTTAATCTTTCATCCTTATTCTCTGACCGCTTAATCCTCTTTGACCATTCTAAGCTAAGCTATACCTGTTTTTGGTTAATTACACCTGACCAACCCTTGGGATGGGGTGGTCAGGTGTCGGCCTATATATCTTCCCCCCTTCTCCCTTCTCCTTAGTCAGTCTGGTGTTGACAAAGGCTTTAACAGGGCCGAAACGTTCACCTCATTTCATATTTCTCTGTGGATTTTCCGCATATATATATATATATATATATATATATATAAAGGTGAAAACATGGGGAATACATAAGGGGTAAATGTGGGGTGAAACATAAGAATAGAGGTAACTGCAGAAGGCTTATTGGCCCATACGAGGCAGCTCCTATCTACATACAAAGATTAATCCAGTGTATTTGGCCTGTTATGTTGGACATTGTCTTCTGTGTTGGCATCGTTATGTTCTGGTCTTGTCCTTACTCTCATGGTGGGTAGAGTAAATAGTTCTGTGATTTGGGTGTTCATGGTAGGTTGTTCTATTCTTATGTGAATTGCTTCAAGAATTTGTAATCTTCTTGCATCTTGGGTTTTGTCTATTATGCAGGTATTTTTGTTCAACATTTCTCTTGTTAGGGTGATGTCATGGGCTTGTCTCATGTGATTCCTAGGGGCACCGGATTGAAGATGGCATGTCAAACGCCTCGTCAGCTTGGTCGACGTCATACCTATGTACTTAGATTGAATGTTACATCCTTCGTGGGGGCAAATGTACATGTATACAACGCTTGACTGCTGTAGAGGGTTCTCTGTCGGCTTCGGGCTGTTTTTGATAAGGAGTTCGGAAGTCTTCTTGGTTTTGTAGAATATTATCAGGTTTATGTTTTGGTTAAGAGTAGTGCTTTTTACTCCTTTATGGATTATTTCTTTCATTATTCTTTCCTCTTTTACATGTTTACTGTGCATAGTTGATTTGTAATATAATTTTATTGGAGGTATTGTGGTTTCTGTTCTAGGTTCAGGATTATACCAACGGTCCAAGTGTCTTCTTATAGCAGCGTTTATTTCCGCGTTGCTATATCCGT